TATATATATATATACACTGAGTGGCCAGATTATTATGACCACCTGACGTTTGTAGGCAAATTAGCTATAATTAGATATAATTTCGCGCTGAGGTTGCTAGAGGGCCAGAGCATTATAAATAGGGAAGCAGATACGGGTTAACAACGCGATTTAACAGCCTTTGAACGTGAGAACGTGGGATGATTGTTGGCGCGAGCCATTGAGCGAGTATCAGCAAAACAGCAGAATTTGTTAAATGTTCAAGAGCAGCTGTTGTTAAAGTGTTTAAAGACTGGACTGTCAGCCGAAAATCTGGGTCTGAACGTGCGAATTGTGGCCGTCAGCGACTAGTCAATGTTAGGGCAGAACGGAGAGTGGCAAGACTGGTACAAGACAACAGAAGGGCAACAGTGCAGTGCCTTTTCCTCATGAAATATAATTTATTTCAGTAAAAGTATAAGATGTGTAAATGCATAAAATAGCATTAATCCACACTGGAGCCTATGTACAGCCACCACTTCCACTGGATCAGCCAGTGGATGGTTAAGGCAAAAGACCAACTTATGCATTTTAGGGCTACATCCCCTTCATCCACCAATCAAAAAGGTTCACTACGCCCACCAATGTATAATAAAATGGAAAATGTAACGTCAGGGAAATGTGTAGTGGACCCACTAACCCCCCATGTCATCACGTCATGCTAGTGCTATGCTAAACAAATGCCGCACATTGGATGACCTAAGTGTCGGTGATAGTTTTAGTAGCCAGGGGAATCTGTAATGATAAAAGGTTGATTTGTAATATACAACACTATTATCTATTTTTGTCTCATTTTCGGAGCATAAAATGTGCTTAACAGCAACTTTTATACTGATATTTATTCTTGAGTATCAATCAAAACATGAACATAAGTCTACAGGCAGTATGGTGGCTAGATCCCAGTGTGTAGCATTAGACCACACATTTTACATTGGTTGTCAAAATGTACATTGGTTAGGGAATGTACAGCGCAGCATACAGAGTAAGGAGGTGTGGAATAGGGAATGTACAGCGCAGCATACAGAATAAGGTGGTGTGGAATAGGGAATGTACAGCGCAGCATACAGAATGAGGCGATGTGGAATATGGAATGTACAGTGCATCATACAGAATGAGGCGATGTGGAATATGGAATGTACAGCACAGCATACGGAACGAGGGGATGTGGAATAGGGAATGTACAGCGCATCATACAGAATAAGGCGATGTGGAATAGGGAATGTACATAGCAGCATACAGAATGAGGGGATGTGGAAAAGAGAATGTACAGCACAGCATACAGAATGAGGGGATGTGGAATATGGAATGTACAGCACGGCATACAGAATGAGGGGATGTGGAATAGGGAATGTACATAGCTGCATATAGAATGAGGGGATGTGGAAAAGGGAATGTACATAGCAGCACATACGACACATACTGTATATGACGACACATACTGTATATACAGCAAGATACAGCGCACCACAAATCACAAGAGCAAATGTCCTGTGTGTTTTGTGGCATGGTGCATTTTTTATAATAGTAGAGTAGCGCAGAGGGTTTTTGTGTGTGTGCACTAAGTTATGTTACCGGCGTATTCAAATAATAACACTTGAAAATGTGGGTATTAAAGTTTATGCGTTTGTTTGAGCCCTACTAGGAAGCTACTGTGTTTAAGATATAGAATAATACGAACATTTGTTAGTGGATATATTGTCAGACTCAAATTTTTGGAGTGCACTACAGATGGAGGAACTGCCAGAGCTGCCCCTCTGCTTTAAGTAGTATAATGTACAACAAAGTATACACTATGTTTTACATTATACCACTGACCCCTGTACTGTATATACTATGTTGTACAATGTATACACTATGTTAGATAGAAAAAAACTGTGCTAGGAATCAAATAACACTCTAAGAGCAGCTGTGCTTAATAGGTGAGTACACCCAAAATAGGAAAAAAGAAAATAGCACTGCGCTTCAAACTCAAAAATTATATTCCTAAAATGTGAAAAAATTGTATAAAATGTGAAATTGTCACAAAGTGATAAACAATTTTGTGTCATACACAACACCTGTGTTGCACAATGCCTGTGCTGATGATAGTAAGAAAAAGCTCTAGTAAGAAAAAGCTCTAGGTCTAATGGTTCGTGATTTTTTTCATGAAAAAAGTGTGCCTTTGCACAAAAAAGGTTGAAAAACACTGGTTTAGACACTATAAACCATAATAAACATGGGGGGGAATGTGCTAGTACATCTCATAAAATGTGTACATATAGAAAATCCTGTGTTAAATCTCACAAGTGATGTACAACTCCCACCTAATCTACATAACCACATGTGAAGTCCATTACTTCTGGATACAATAAAGTCCTTAAATATGTGAGGATATATCTTCCAACTTTTATAATCAACACCACGTCCGTGAATGCAACAACAATTAGTGAATCAGTGCTCTCCAGTCTCCACCGTCCTCAAAGATAAGATCTGGCCGCACTCACCGACTCCTATTGTTCACCATATTTCAGATGAACAATTAGCGCTTTGTTTACCTCGCGTTCTGGTGCGGGCGATCACACTGCTGGGGGGGGGAGGGGCCATGTCTGTGGTGACATTGACATGAATGACACCGACACGCCCCCTCCCAGAACGCTGCCCGGCTTGATCTATGCGAGCCAGCGCGTTCCGGGCTTGAACCGCACCGGAACGCACTGGACTTGGTGTGACTGGGCCCGGAATCTGAATGCCTATTATTTTCTTTCTATATTAGCAACAATGTTGTGTGTTCACAAGAACCATCTGGGGCGAAAGCAGCGTCTGTACAGATTGGGGGTGGGGAGGGCCAGATTTTGGTCAGTAGATGGCAACCTACCTGGATAATTCATGGCAACCTACTAGATTTTGTAGCCCTATCAGTAAAGGATGGATTCTGATTTTCGGGGGGGTTACTGTACATTGCATATGACTTCAACGATGCCATGCTGTGCAAGCATAGGGGGCACTGAGATTTGATTCCCCCTTGCATACTATGTCCTCAATATGGGTGTTAAATGGAGAATTGTGCCAGCCCCCCATGCTTAAAACTGCCCCCCACCAACATACCTGAATCACAGAGTCCCTCTTCACGCAGGGGTCAGTATATGTTTTAATTTTGTGCAGCTGTGCATGGCTCCACCAACACAACTGCTCCATCCATTAAAGAAGAACTATGAGGTGAGTGATTTTCACTCAACCTCATAGTTCGAGCCGACATGTGACAATGAAACTGTCACAGGTCGGCTCAGTAGATCGGGAAGTGAGCGAACACATACCGTCGCTCACTTGATCCTGTCCCTGCAGAGAGCCGTGACTGTCACTCACGGCTCCCTGCAGGGATTCCCCCATCCCTGCTCCGATCCTCCAGCGCTGACTGGCGGAACGGACGGGGGTGGGGGCGGGTACAGCTGACTCTGCCTCTACATAGGCAGAGCAGGCTGTCAATAACGCAGGTGGGTGGATCTCGACAGTGATGTCGAGATCCGTCCCGGCTGCGGCAGTCTCAGTATACCGTGAGCTGCAGCTTGCAATATACTGAACTTTGAGTCACCGGAGGACGCTAGTTTATGTCCTCCCATGGCACTGAGAAGAACTATGGGGAAAAGCACTTACCCCATAGTTCTCCTTTAACAGGGCCATTCAAGGGATGAAAAAACTCAATGGAGTACAACTGTATGAAGTCACTGCACTTGTAGTTGATTGATAACTTCCTCCAGCTCCATAACAGAAGATCTGTAACTGGGGCTTGAGGAATAGTCTGCAGGAGCCTGAGCAGTGTACCCATGATCTATTGATTGCAGTTCCAATGCTTTGCAGGTTCCAATGCTAAAACCTAATAAATCAATTTTTTTATTTTAAATATGTCTGCATTTATTCTTATTTTATTTTTATTTTTTTTATCAAACGGTACTTTTACTTTAACAGAATTATTTCTATTTCTACCTATTTATCTTTATTACTGGACTCTACATAACATTATGTAACATTAGACGCCCTCTTGTGGCCATTATTGGTACTGCAGCTGCTAGATGTCTCTATTCCTACATGCAATCCTCCCCAATGCTTTTTACTTCTCAGCTGATGTTAAGCAGCATCCCTCAGTCTCTCCCTCATGTCTCTGGGATACACTCTGCTCTGAGAATTCAGAGCCTTTCCTGGCTGTGTGAGCTTTTCCCCCTACTCCCCCTACATGTGACTTGTCTCCCCTGCCCTCTGTGCTCTGAGTTCTCCTGCTGGCTGAAGGCAATTACTCTTCTGTCTGCTGCTGATAGCCTGGCAGCGCAATTATATCAATGGACAGCAAGTTGTGCAACTGCAGACTGTGCAAGTGGTCAATTCTTGGACTGTGTGGAGATGGGGGCTCACCTTGGGTTGTGAATGGATGACTTGCAGCATCTGGAAGGCTACAGGTAAGACAAGGGCATTGCTAACCATTGCTGTCACCATCACTGATGACTCTACAAAGTATTCCCCTTACATCTAACATATCTATTATGTGTGAATAATAGGTGCATAGTAACATTGTTTAATACATACATGTTTGGTGGAAGGATTTTGTTTAACAACCGTAACAATCTTATGTTTTGGATTTTTTTAAACTTTACTATATAATTGCTGTTTTGTTTTTTTTAGGTGTTATTAAATATTTTATGACCTTTTTTTTTTTTTTTAAGTTGAGGAACATATTTCCTTGCAGAATGCAAGGTCAGGAGAGATGATAGGATCATGTAAATTCTGCTGTGTGGTTCTGAGTCCCATGCCTGCTAGGAAGATCCACTTCCAGGACATTAAGACAACTTCTATGTCTCTCCAGCGTTATGTGTCAGCTTTGGATAAAGGAAATCAGAGAGACACAGAGGCTGCTATTGCTGACCTCTCCTTCTGCACGTTCATGTAGCCTGGCTGTGATGTCGATGCTTTGACTTCAATGCTTTGAGTGGAGAATATATAGAGAGAAAACTTTCTGACTTTTCAATGAGTGGTGTTGGCTGCAAGCTTTTCCAAGTTTGTGACTTATAGGAATTGAACCCAGATGGAGCCAGGCAGACTAGTATTTCAGAAAGTGGTTGTTCCTGCCATAGCAGTCCATGCAGATGCTATGGGGCCTGGGGTAGGAGGGGGCCCCAGTAGGGAGGCTATTAAGGAAAACTTAATTGTGAAGAGTCCAGTGTAGAATGGCTGAAGTTAAACCTCAGGATTGTCACTAGTATCGGACCCCCCTTGATGCAGTACGATGCATTTGCTTATCTATCTTAGCATTCTTCTTCCACAGACTGAAATGAATCCTGTGTGCCTGATGCAGTCACAAATCAAAAGTGTCACCTTTGTTAAAAACTTAAAGGAGGGTTGTGGTTCTACAAAATAGTTTAAAGAAGAGGTTTGCATTAGGGTTATAGAGCAATTGTGTGCAAGAACATTGAGATGTTGTCACAATATAAGCTATCATCATCATCATCATCATCATCATCATCATCATCATCTTATTATTATTTACTACTACAGCTATACCTTTTATCCAGACCTCTGCCCCCTAGTAGTATACTGACCATGCTGACAGCTCTCCTGCTGCCTGTCCTTGTTTTAGGCATACTGTATGGTAATCAATGACTTGTATTGTCACAGTTGATGCTACAGAGACAGTAGGGTCCCCATCAAGATTTTGCTACTGGGTCCCATGGTAGTACTGTCCTGTGCTCCTGTATTTATCTCCTGATGGGCGCGCTGGGGATTTTCTGATCCCAGCGGAGAAGCAGATGTCAGCTATACACACTGGGATTTGCAGCTCATGGATTTGGGATCTGGACCACAAAGATTGGTAGCATTTACACAAAC